CCACATCCCTGTGCCACACTCACCCACATCCCTGTGCCACACTCACCAGTCCATCCCGTTGGGCATCCCGGGGGGCTCAGCCGGTGCCGAGCCCCTCCTGCGCGGTTTGGGGGGCGACGGAGGCGCTGTGGCAGGGCAGGGGTGGGTGTCCCAGTTGGGCTCTGAGGATGGAGGGGGTGAGCAGGGTGCCATGATGTGCCACGCTGTGCCATGCCGTGCCACGCTGTGCCACGCCTGCACACCTGGGCTCACCTGGCAGCTTGCGGTGGATCTGCCGGAACATGCTGCGGTACCAGTCCCGGGGGCTGTCGACGCTCTGCGGGGACACGTTGGGGTGGTGGTGAGGGGGCAACAGGGGGGTGCCAGCCCTGCCCTGTGCCCCAACTCACCGAGCGGGAGGCGATGGGCATCCCTGTCTCGTCCACGGGCCCGATGCCATCATACTTCACCCAGCGCCGCTCCCGCCGCTTGCTGTCCTTGGTCCAGGTGGCCGACCAGCCCGGGGGGCACGGGCGGGCAGGGGCAGCCCTGGGGGTGGGCGTGGGGCCGGCGGGCACCGGGGTGTTGGGGGCTTTCACCTCCTTGGCCGGCCAGGTCTGGTACCACTCGTTCACTGGGGACAAGGCGGGCGTCACTCAGGAGGGGCATCGCTCAGGAGGGGCATCGCTCGGGGGGGTATCGATCGGGGGGTATCGCTGGGGGGAGCCCGTGGGGTGTCCTTGGGGGTGCTCAGGGCTGTACCTGAGTTCTTGGGCTCCGAGCTCTTGGGCTCCGGGTCGTGGAAGTGGAAGTTGAGGGTGTTGGAGCCGCGGTGGCGGATGACGGGCAACTGTGGCACAAGGAGGGGGGCAAAGGAAGGGATACAGGGGTGCAGCCCCCCCCAAAATCCCCTGCGTGCAGCAGCCCCCGGCCCCACTCACCCGTGTCACCGTGTGCTGGGGGGGGCAGCTGCAGGGGTGGGTCGAAGGAGGGGACATCCTGGACACCCAGAGCCTGGTTGGTGCCCGAGGGCAGGAGCCGACCTGCCATGGCCAGGGGGTGCTGGGGTGGTGCCCCAGGGCTGCCCGTGTCCTGTGAGGAAAGTGGCTTTTCTCATGAGGGGGGCCCATGTCCCTGTTCTTTTGGACACCCCCGGGCTTGGCTGGACAGCTGGCAGCTCCATCCCAGCTCCATCCCCACGGCCAGGAGGGTGACAACCACCACAGTGGGGTGACAACCACCACAGTGGGGTGACAACCACGGTGGCACCGTCCCCAGCTCAGGGAGTCTCACAGTGCCACGGGAAGCAGCTGTTCCCGGTTGGAACCAGCCCTGGCAGGGCTCCCCAACATGTTCTCCATGCGGATCCAGACCCCTTCCCTCCCCTGTCCCCACCCCGGCTCTGCAGGGATGGATCCAGCCCGGCTTTCTCTTCGGGGAGAACACGCCCGGAGCGGGTCGGGGCGATGGCTGTGCCGTGTTCCCATCACCTTGGCATCCCGGCGCGGTGCCCTCCCGCCCGGGCACGTGGCTGCAGCGGCGTCGCCCGCCCGGGAGAGCTGCCAGGGCCGGGAAACACGACAGGGCAGAAATATTTCCCCCGCCCTGCAGCGCAAACAGGGAGGGAGAGGGGACGGAGAGGGACGAGGCGTCGGGAACGCGCGGCCGGGCCCCGGCACCGCCCGCCGGGAGGGCAGTGCGGTGACTCACCGCGGCACGGGATGGGATGGGGGGCGGCTGGGGGGGGGGCGGGACCCCCGGAGCGGCTCCTGGCACTGGGATGGCTCCGGGGGCGAGCACAGCCCCGGGACGGGGCGAGTCACCTGTGCCCTGGCTCGTCCCCATATCAGTCATGGCCCCAGTGCTCACAGGTGCCCACCATGGTCAGACCCCCCCTCAAACAGCTTGGGGGGCTGCCGGGGGGGTGCCAGCCCGGCACGGTGCCCTGTGAGTGTGGGACCCTCAGATCGGGCTGGGGACCCCTCATCAGCTCCTTGCTCCCCACACCCCCAAGAGTGTAATTATTGCTAATCACCCCCCTCCCCGGAGGGAAACAGGTGCTGGGAATTATGTGCCCCAGGGGACAGAAAGTGGGGTGCAGACTCCCACCCCCCAGGGCACCCCGACAACCTCCACCCCATTCCCAGCACAGCTCCCACACGGGGCTCGGCCCCATCCTGCCCCAAAACCCGGCCCCGGGGGTCCCCTCCTCGGCGGCCCCCCCCAGCCAGCTCTTACCTTCTAGGTGGTGCCGGTGGGGACCCCCGGGGAGCGCCCGGGTTTTGGGGAGCCCCGGGGCAAGCGGGACGGAGCTGCGAGAGGCAGCGAAGAGAAATCCACGGCACGAACTTTGCCGGGAGAAGGAGCTGGGAAGGGGCGGGGGGGTGCTCAGCGCATCGCGGGGTCTGGCAGGGACAGCCCCCCCCTTCCGAGCATCCCCCGGGTGGGTCAGGAGCCACCGTCCTCCCCGGCGTTGGGTCCCCGTGTGCCCCGGCCCCCCTCGGGGTGCGCTGCTCCGTCCCCCCCGAGCGGGGCCGGCCCATTCAGAGTTTCCAGTGACATTTCCAGGGATGAGATCCAGGGAATGGAGCCAGGAGGCTGAACTCATCCCACGCCCCGCGCACGCGTTCCCGCGCACCCGGCCCCCCGCTTACGAAACGGGGGCGAGCCCGGCGCCGCCGGCCCCCCGCCGAGAGAGAGATGGGAATTCGGGGGGATTTCTGGGAGAGGATGGGGAGGAAGGTGCTGGGTGGAGGTCAGGACTGAGGTGGGGGGGTGGGGTCTGTGCTCCCGTGGCCTCCTAAGCCCCCCAGTGAGAGCAGAGCCCCCATCCCCACTGTCATCCTCTTCCACATGGGTGATCATCCCCTCCAGATCCCTCCGGGCACTGGGGACCCCCTTGTAACACTCCCATGCTCTGCTCTGTGGGTGCCCTGTATCCCACCTCACCCCTTCTAGCATCACCAGCCCCCTCTGAGATGGAGACAGGGATCTGGGAGGGAATTTTGGGAGAGGACGGGGAGGGAACTGCTGGCTGGAGGTCAGGACAGAGGTGGGGAGTGGGGTCTGTGCTCCTGTGGCCCCCCAACCCCCAGGATGGGGGATATGGTGGGAGTAGAGTCCCCATCCTCACTGCCCCTCGTTTTCCCTCGGGTGTTCCTCCACCCGCTCCATCCCTCAGGAATGTGGGCACTGAGGACCCCCGTGTAACACCCCCGTGCCCCGCTCTGTGGGTGCCCCACATCCCGCTCACCCCCTCCGGCAGCGCCCGCACCCACCACTCACCCTCTGGTCACTTCCTGCTCCCCCAAAACTGCTGACACCCCCGGAACGGGGCCGCCCCAGCCCTTCCTCTGTCCCGTGAGGTCCCACGTGAGCTCCCGGGGGGATGGTGGCTTCGCTGCCACTCCTCGGTCCCCACCAAGCCACCCGTCCCCTGCCTCTGGGGGTGAGGGGGAGGATGGCAGGAGCCCTGTCTGGCTGCGATGCTGCTCCCGGGGGGGCACCGGGGACATCAGGGACACGGGGGACACAGGGGACAGGGGCGGGTGTCCTCCCCACTGCCACAGCCCTGGGGGACACAGCTCCCACCGGAATGCCATGGGAACGGGGCAGCTCCCTGGTGCCAGCTGGCGACACCGCGGGGAGGACGCGGGTTGGGGACAGGGGCTGATCCCGCTGGAAAAACTCGGGGTGACAAAGGCAGGGAGGGCAACAGGGCTGGGGCGAAGCCGGGGGCACCCACGGGGAGGGTTAAACCCCGCGAGGGGACTTCAGAGCCTCAGAGCCCATCCCTGCTGCCGGGGGGTGACCATCCCCCCCGTGTCACCTCCCGGTCCCCTCCAGCCCACCAAGTGACATCTCCGGAGGTCGCAGCCCCCCAGCCGCCGCAGCCCACCCCGGGGTGCCAACGACCCCCACCCGAGCCCCGGCTCACCTCCTCACCTCCTCGTCCCCGTGGCCGGCGAGGAGCCTCCAGCGCCGGCCCTGCCTCGGTCCCTCCCTCCCCGCGGCTCCGGCACCAGCCTCCGCTCGCAGATAAATATTTAACGCGCAGCCCGGGCCGGGATTAACAAAGGGCGAGTGTTTCCTGTTTGCTCAGCGCGGCGATGCCAGCCGGGAGCGCGCGGCCGGCCCCAGGGATGCTCCCGGGGATGCTCCCGGGGATGCTCCCGTGCTCAGGGATGTGCCGGGCAGCGGCCGGAGCTCCCCCCCCGGAGCCGAGCCCGTGGTCTGGGGGCGATGCCGGGTGCGGGGCAGGGTGGTGGTGGCCCCCCAGGTTCGGTGGGAACACCCAGGAAAAGGGTGGGAGAGCCGGAGCATCCTTTCCCGGTCACGCCCTGGATGCATCCGGAGGCTGGGGAGAGGGAATTCCGTCAGGAGAACAGGTGGGGAACAGCGAGCACGTGGTGAGCTGGGCTCGAGGCCGAATTCCCGCGGGAAAAGGTGCTGGGGTTGGTGTAATTCACTGGAGTCCTCCAGAGCTGATCCTGAGTGTCATGGGAGAGGGATGGAACCCAGATGTGGCAGCCACAGCTGGGAGGAACATCAGCTTCCCAAGCAGGGAGGGAGCTGGGATGGTTACAGCTGCCACCTCCTGTCCTGGGCTCAGGATGGGGATCCCCAGGCAGGAGCCAGCCCAGTGTGGGAGCCGTGACCCACCCGGATGGATCCCAGAGCCCAGGGCTGCTCCCTGAAATCCCTGGGTGTGGAGGGAGCACCTCCCAAAAGCACTGAGGAAGGAGCCGGGTGTGAAACAAGAGCTGGCACATCCCCTCCTCTTCCTCCTGGCAGCGGCAGGAGGGTTATTTACCCAGGGAAGGACGAGGAGCAGGAGCTGAGAGCTCTCCAAACCCACCCTGGAGCCGCCACTCCGCGTGTGCCAACGTGCCAGAGGCTGGGAGACGCCGTCTGGGCACTGCCCCAACCCTGGAGAGGCTGGAAAAGCCTCCAAATCCTTCCTCCTGGAAGCACCCAGAGGGTGCTCAGCACCCCAGGAGAAACACCCCCTTCACACCCCCCAAAAAAACCACAGTGGAGCCCAGTGACTGTGTCAATTTTTATCTTTTTTTTTTCTTTTTTTTTTCCTCCTTAAAGATGACTCCGATTTACATCGAGACAGTTCTAACAAATTCATTCCTTGTTTCACAAAAAAAAAAAAAAAAGAAATTATATTAAATAATTTCTGCCAATAAATAACATTTTCACCATTTTTTTTTCTCCTTTCAACAGAACTAAAAAAAAAAAAAATAAAATAAAATAAAAGCAAGAAATAAAAATTAAAAATTAAAAAGGAGGCAGTCTCCAGGCAACGGGCATATGATCCTTCAGCATTGAGAACCCCAAAATCACCATCACTGCACCCCCTGTGGGGCTTAAGGTCCTCCCTGGCCGAGGTTGGTGGGATCTGCATCCCACCCCAGCTCACCTGGCCAGGTGGGATCTGTGCCAGAGGCAGCCAGAGAGGTTCTCCCAATCCCAAAAATAAAATTAAGCCTGAACTCAACCCACCACCCGCCCCGTTGCCGACTCCCCTCCTTGGACATGCACCTTGCTAGAACATGCAAAAAAACCCAGGCTGTGGGGACGTGGGGGCTTCCCTGGATTTGGGGGCTCCCCATGGGAGGTGGGGGCTCCCCCAAGGCCGGTGGGCTTCCCAGAATCCCAGTTGTCCAAGCTCCAGGTGGCAGCCGGGGAGGGGAAGGGAGAGGCAGGAGCTCTGAGATGAGGGGTCTTGGGATGTGCACAGCTCTGAGGGGCTGGGTTTGGGGGGAAAGGGGAGGAGAAAAGGGGGAATTTGGGGGTTTTGGGATTGTTTTTTGGTTTGCCGTGGTGGGGGAGTCAGGGCAGGGAATTCTGCTCCGAGGTTGTCATCACCCTGCACCCCACAAGAGGGGAGGGGGGATCTCGGTGCTGGGGCAGGGAAAGCTCTGTGTTCCCACCGGGATGCCAGCACGGACAGGGGTTGTTAATTGAGGGGGTAATTAGCACCCAGAGCCCCATTGCTGCTCCTCACCCCCTCGGGAACTGGTTTTAAGGGAAGAGGGGACCTGGAAGTGTGGCATCCACATGTGCCAGCTGCCACACGGCTCCTGGGACAGGGAGGGGAACATCCAGCCCTTGGCCACCTTCTCCAGGGCTTGGACAAACAACATCCAGCCCTTGGCCACCTTCTCCAGGGCCGGGACACTGGGAAGCTGCAGCCCCACGAGCCCCAGGGATGGAGGGGTGGCTCTGGATCCCCCAATCCACAAAGCACAAGGTCCACAGGGATTTCAGGGAGGGGGAACTGGCGATGCCAGAGCGGGAGAAGAGGGATGGGGAGACAAACTGCCAGCAAAGCAAACCCCCCCTCCGCGATGGGCAGGGCCCTGCTGACCCATCCCCTGTGCGGGGAAGGGGTGCCAAGCCCGGGGGGGTCCCGCGGGGCTCCCATCCCAAAAAATCTCCCGACTAAAACCTGCTGCTTGGGTGAGATCCCAGCCTGGGTCAGCACAACACGCCCGAACATGCACGGGCAGCACCGGGCACGGTCTGTGCTCTCGGATACCACACACGGGGCTCACGGCGATCAAAGGAGGCCCTTAAAGAACAAAGAATACTCACAGACAAAGGCAATTTGGCCCCAGGCCTCGGACGGGGGGTGGGGGGAGGGAAGCTCGCTCCAAACACCTCTCTTTTTGCACTTTTTGCAAAGCGGTGGGCGTGTAAAAAAAAACAGGAGAGGGGGGGAAAAAAAAAAACAAGAAAAAAAGAGGGAAAAGTGGAGGCATGTGACTTGTGGAAACCCAGTGGTTCGCTCACAGAATCCTAAGGAGCCGCCGTGGAATTAAGTGAGGTGTGATCCTAAGACACAGCCTGAAAGCTTCCTGCAAAGTTGCTGTTTTCCCCTGGCGCTGGAATCACAAAGGGGAGACAGCAAGATCCAGAGAAAGTGTTGGCAAAGATCCCTTTGGGAGAGGCTCGAGCATGGGAAAAGGTGGGGAAGAAGGGAAAGCTGGCCAGGGGTTTGCTTCCTTGGCTCCGGGCAACGGAGGCGGCTCACGCGGCACCGGGAAGGGAAGCGACCAGTGGGAATCTCACAAAACCCTTTTCCAAAGGAAAAAGGAACACATCTACGCTCCAAAATCCCCAGCACCACACGGGGGGGGTCCCCTGGGAGCCCCTGGAGATCCCTCTCCAGCACTGCACAAGCGCCCGTCCAAAAATTCCCACTGGATCCGCCTGGTTCTATCCTCCAGCCTCCTGCCAAACCTGCCTCCCCTCCCTGCAGCCGAGGGAGGTGCTTCCAAAACCGGGGGGTGCCTTGAAACCAGCACCAAGCCACATCTCCCAGAAACCAGCAGCATCCCCACACATCTTATCCCCAGTTCTTTTCCAGCTGCTGGGAAAGGCTGAGGTGCCCACGGCTCCTTTGGAGTCGGAGGAATAGCCACTGGCTGACAGTGGGTGATGCCCCAAGTCAACCACAGTGAGTGGAAGACCCCCCAAAACACACCCTGGGGGACAGGGAGGTGACACCGAGGGGGCCCCACCCCAAACTGACCAGCAAGGGCCGATTCCAGAGCCAGGAACAGGGAATGTGCCGCGGGCTCAGCAGCCTGTGGTGGCGGGACAACAGGGGGTCTGTTATTCCCCAGGTTATAAATCACCCCCTTTTCCTTTAAAATTCAGGCCTGGCAGCTTTCCCAGAGATCATCAGACAGCAGAGATAATTCCTCTGCTCTGAATCAGAGCGATTCCCAAGGGAATTCTGCTGCATGGGCAGCAAAGTGGCTGCTCCGAGTCGGGGGAAGAGCCACAACAAGGGGCAGTGCTTCCCCCACCTGCCTTCCCCTAATTTTTGTTTGGGATTCCACTGGAATAAAGCTGAATTCCTGAAGGAAAAGGTGCTGTGACTGGTGTTAACACCCTGGAGTCCTTCAGAGCTAATCCTGGCTGTCACCTTGGAAAAGGGATGGATCTCAACAATGTGCCTTCCAGGGAATTGGTTGCTAAAGCAGCAGTTGCAGGTAGGCAAGGACTTGAAAGCAACAGGAAAATCTGGGAAGAAAACAGGTGTGAAAAGGAAAACCAACCCAACCCTGTCCTGAAGGGAAGGACCTGCTTTGGAAAGCTCAGGCCAACTCCAAATTGTCCCAAAGCCAACGACCCAAGTTGCCTGGTTTGACTGATTTTTTTTGTTTCTTTTAATCCCCCCCCCCTCCACCTCCACAGAGGTTTGGCCTCTTGGGGAGGGGCAGCTGGACAGCACAACATTCCCGGGATGCACTAGCAGTTGGATTGGTTTCTAAATTAAAAAAAAAAAAAAAAAAAAAAAAAAAAAAAAAAAAAAAAAAAAAAAGATGGACTCCTTTTATATATATCGAACATAAATTAAAAAAAAAAATAATAATTACAAAATGGTCGCCCTTCCTTTTACAGAACGGATGCGAACTTGGACTTATGGACGTGCCTCCGGGTGACGTTGGTTTCAACCCCCCCTCGCCCCCAGCCCACCCCCCGATAATAAATAAATAAAATTCCTTAAGTTTTGGATCCTTTAGCGGCGCGGGTTCGGGCGCTCGGGGCGTTACTGGGATTTCTTCCCCGTGCCGTTCTTGTCCGCAGAGTTCGAGGTTACCAAGTTCACGGGCCCGTCCGAGTGCAGCGAATCCTTGCGCGGCGGCATCCGCTCGTTGATCCGGTCCAGCCCCCGCGCCTCCTCGAAGCTGCGGATCTTGTGCTGAGGGGAGAATCCACGGATGGCTGCGGGGAGAAGGGATGAGGGAGGGCAGGGTGTTAGTGCCAAGGCCGGGGATTGGCGGGGAGGAGCCCTCCGAGCACACGCCAGACACGAACGGGGACAGTCAGCGGGACAGAGAGCACCTGTGTGGAGGCGGCGCCTGTCTGGATTTGGGATGCACGGGGAGGTTCTTGGTGGCGGTTTGGGGTTTGGAATTTGGGATTCGACTGCGGTGACTCGCTCTGCTCCCTCAGAGCTGCTCTTTTCATGGAGTCATCGGATGGTTTGGGTTGGGAGGGACCTTAAAATCACCCAGTTCCACCCCCCTGCCACGGGCAGGGACACCTTCCACTAGCCCAGGTTGTTCCAACCTGGCCTTGGACACTCCCAAGGATGGGGCAGCCACAGCTTCTCCAGGAATTCCATCCCAGCCCCTCCCCACCCTCCCAGGGAAGAATTCCTTCCCAACATCCCACCTGCCCTTTCCTAATTCATTCATTCATGGCTAGGCTTCGCAAATGAAGATTTAGGAAGGCTCTATCCACATTTGTTACGGCCTTTCCTAATACAGCAAGAGGAATTTGAAGAACCAGACAAGTGCTCGCTGTCCCCAGAGAGTGAAATCTCAGGAAAGGTTCAAAGCTGAACGACACGACACTGAAAAAAAATAACAACACTAAAAAAAAAAAAAGCCAAACCAAACCGACAGAACAAAGACACCACCACAAGGCTCTGAACTCCGACACAAACCACACACTGCAACACCAGGAGAGGGAACAGCTAATCCTTGGATCACAAAGGCAGAGCTCTTGCATGACCAGGAGACACACGGGCAGTTTTGGGAGGGATGGATCCCCCTCAGGGATTTCGTGTCCCTGTTCCATCACTGCGAGGCCGAGCACGTCCGTCCTCGCCGCGATGATCCGGCCCAAATGTGAAACTTCTTTGTGCTACACGTCATTTAAGGAAAAAGGGGGTCGTGCCAAATCCTTTCCAAGGACTTGGCTGCGTTACAAACAACTTCCCTCGGTAAGCAAAGTCTCCACGGAGCTGCGTGGCCCCCATTCAGCTTCGAGGAAAACATCCTCGGGGATCTGCCATTTCCACACTCCACAGGGAGAAACCTGCTCTCCACCTCGGCCCAGAAGGCAGGAGGTTACATCAGCACCACAAAATCCTCTGCTTCCTAAAGGATTTTGACCGTGCTGGCAGCCTGAGAGATCAGATTGGAGGACCCCAACCACCAGAGCACGAACCGCGCCCTGAGCAACGACCTCGCTGAGGCTCAAACAGCCTCGAACCAAACCACTGGGGATTTTTTTTTTTTTAGCTCCTCAGCAGGGCCTTGTCCTTCTGGTGATGCAAGAGTGGGAAAAAAAAAAAAAAAAAGCTTCTGTAGGGCCGATAAAGCTGTTTGGGGTCAGCGCACGCACACACGGAGATGCTTTGGGTCTCTCGGCGGGTTCTAGCCATACCTTCCCGTGCCTCTACCGCTTCTACTGTGGCTGCAATACAGAAGAACAGTGGCATGCAAAAATGAAGACAGAAAAAAAAAAAAACAAAACAAAAAAAAAAAAAAAAAAAAAAAGAGTGACAGTGAGTGATCCGACATCATGGCTGCGACGACGCAGAGCCCACGCTCCCCCAGCCCCGGGGCTGCCAAACCACGGGCCAGAGGGAAGAGAAGAGGTGACAGTGGGTGGAGAGGAGGGTGGAAGGGGACTCCCTCGGGGTGCAGGGGGAGTCTCCCTTCCTCGCCACACAGATTTGATCCGATGGAAGAACAGAGAAGCAGAGAGAGGGCTGCCTGCTGCGTGTGCCCCGGGGAGGACGGGGATAACCTCGTGGATCTCACCCCCCTGCTCCCAGCTGGGTGCTCTGGCCGCCTCCAGGAGGTGAATTGTGTGGAATTCACCCGCTGCCCTCACAGGTTGTGGGAGGGGAACGAGCCCGAGGGATGGGAGTATGTTTGGGAGCAGAGGGACAGCCTGTTTTCCAGGGAAGGACAAGCAGCAGTCACTGGGGTGCTCTGCTCCCGATGCCTTGAGTTATAGGAAAAAATAAGGCTGATGCTTCAAACCCAGTTTGGCTTCAGCTCCACCTCCTAAAAGTGTTACCAAGCAACGAGGCACCACCGAGCTGAGCAAGGTCCCCTTTCCTAAATCTGCTGCAGCAATGGGCCAAGTTTTGGCAGGCCCTGCCTCAACATCTGGGAGGAGGCCCTTCCTTAGAACAGATTCTCTGGTTTTCAGCCTCAAAACACCACTTTGGCCCCAGCACAAAGGCCACACGGTCCTTGGGAGGCCATGGGGGAAGGACGGAGCTGTGGCTGAACAGCTTTGCCCCGGATTTGGTGACTTCATTCCATTGATTTTGCTAAGCCGTGCTGTGGAAAGCTGGGGGGAGGCTCGGGAGGGATGGGCCTCCCCCACTGCTACCTGCAGCCCTGCTTCTCCTTTTTTGGGGTGCAGAGGCTCCCCCTAAAGGGGGGCAGCCCCCTCTTCTCCTTGCTGAGCAGACGGGGCTCCCATAAATTCACCAGGAGGCTGCCGGGAGTGCGAAGGGACGTGCGAAATGGGGCGGGGTGGGAGAGAGGGTAGGACGGGGAAAAAGGGCTGGGAGAAGGGGACAGGATGGGGAAAAAGGGCTGGGAGAAGGGGGTAGGACAGGGAAATGGGGGTGAGAAGGGCAGGAGAAGCAGGGTGGTGCTGAGGGAAGCAGGGGGAGCCTGCAGCCATAGGAAAAGGCAGCGGGCAGGGCGGGTAAGGCAGAGCAAAGGCCCAGCTTGTTTGTTCTGTCCTGGGGAGATGCCTATTTTGGGGTGAGGGGGAAGGTCCATGGTACCCCCGGAGAACCCCCTGAGAGGGGAAGGGGCTGGAGAACGTCACAGCATCACCCTGTGCTGTCAGATACAGGGACAAAGCTGCTGCAACAGCCACCTTCCCACTCAGGCTCTGTTCCCAGAACTGGGGCGACAGGACCACGATGGTTTCTATAAAAAAAAAAAAGGGGGGGAAAAAAAAAAAAAAAAAAAAAGCATCCTCCTCTGTGGGCAGAGAAATGCAAGAGTTTGGGAGTGATGCTGCACCCTCCCTGGGAGCAGGCAGCAGTATTTACACGTTTCCTACTCATGAACTATTTAATCCAGGCAGCCCCAGCCTCGTCCCTGAGTGAGCCGCAGGAAATCCCCGGTGCCCATGGGAAGGGGGAAGCTGGGGACATGCCAGCATTCAAAGGATAGCAGGAAAGGATTAAAACACTAGATTACAGGATTCCCTCTGGGGACACGTTACTGGGACAGCTCATTCCCTGACCATCAGCCAACCTCCCTCCCCGCCCTGTGAGTGGGAAGCCCATGGATCGGATCCCGCTCCCAGCACTCCACCAACACAGAGCTGCTGAGGGAGGGAGCGAAGCGGAAAGAAACCTCCAAAACCAGATGAAAACCTGAGAGGAGTCTTAATATAAAACATCCAGGCCTGGATGGATCTCATTCCTTCGGCTAACTCCTCCTGTGTTTGGGATTCGTGATTTCCCAGGGGCAGTTTTGGGGGTGTGGGGGTGTGTTAACGAAGAACAAACAAGGTGTGTCACTGTCACATTCACACAGAGGCTGTCACACAGCAGCAGCAGCAGCGAGGTGAGGCAGAGGATGTGCACCATGCAGCATTAGGAGGGGAATAAAGGATAAAAAAATCCTTGCAGAAACATACAGTTAAGCAATGCACATGCTCTGGGCAGGGTGCTGTGGGGTTCCTTCCTCCAGGGTACATGGGGACTGTCTTGGCATCTCTCCACATCCCCACCTACACCTCTGCTCCTTCCTGGTTTGGAATCCTTCCTCCCCGTGGGCCTGAGACATCCCTGGGATCCCCTGGCACCCTCCAGGCTGCCTGTGGGGGCTGGAAGGGGGGTTTTGGGGGCAGGTGGAGCAGAGCAGGGGGGGATCAGGGACACTCACCGGTCTGGAGGGTCTGCCTGCCCCCCGAGAGCACTCCCAGGGGCAGGGTACCTGTGGGGGTCAGGCCTTTGAGGGTCAGCACGCTCTCACTCTCCTCCCTGCAGGGAACAGCAACAAAACAGCTCAGAGAGGGCAATGCTGAGCTGACCAAGCCTCAGGAATCATGGAATTATTAAGGTTGGAAAAGGATGTCTAAGATCACCAAGTCCAACCATCACCATCACCGTGTTTTCACCACTAACCCAAGTCCCCAAGTGCCACATCCACACGTTTGTTAAATCACATCCACACATTTCCTTTAAATCCCACCAGGGATGGTGATTCCACCACTGCCCTGGGCAGGCTGTGCAAGGGCTGGACAGCCCTTTCCATGAAGAAATTTTCCCTGATATCCAACCTAAGCCTTCTCTGGCACAACTGAAGGCTGTTTCCTCCCATCCTGTGACTTATTACCTGGGAGAGCAGCCTGACTCCCACCTCACTACAACCTCCTTCCTGTCCTGAAAGAGTCAGAAATCACCACCTCGAGCCTCTTCCACACGCTCTGGAGGAACTTTTGTGAGGTCTTCCCCTTCCTTCCTGACTGACTGACATTCCCCTGTCACCCAGCCCCCAAATTAAACCCAGCCCCCCAATTAAACCCAGCTCCCAACCCCTCCTTACCGAAGAACCGAGAACACACGTGCCATCTTCCCAATGGCTCTGATCTTATTCCTGATGATCTCCTTACGGACTGTTGTCCCACCTAAGGGAGAGAAAAGAGCAAAGAGCAGCACGTTGGAGGCTTCCTGCTTTCCCAGGGAACGCCAGCATGAAGCACCTGCCTGACTCCAGGAAAAGAAATCATGGTTTACAGATTCACAGCTACACTGGAGAGAGAACGGTGCTGGAGGATGGCATCAGGATGGCATCAGGATGGCAGTGAGAAGGGCAACACCAACGAGATGAGACACGGACTCGAGAGCTCTAGAGAGAGTAGAACCACCGAGGGACACGGATCTGGGGAGGTCTTTGTTGGAAGCTCACTGGGTGGGCTCACACTACACAGGATGTGACACAAATGACTCAGCCATGGAGACACAGTTTTGCAAGGCAGAGCACGGAGGGGTCTGATGGCTGATGGGCACTGCTGTGCCACGCAAGCATCAGCTTTGGCATCCAAGGAGCACAGGGAAGGGCTGGCCAGGGCCTTGCAGCTCTGCTCGGGCCCCACACAAACACAAAGGTGAGAGAGGTGAACTCCCCTCCCGCTCCACGGACCCGACGGGAGAGAAAAAAGCATGGAGGGAACTGAAACCAAACCAAAAATCCAGGTGAAACGAGGGGAAACAAAATCCATCTCCTCTCAGCTGAGATTCCTCACATGGCCCAGTACACATCAGGACAGGAAAGCCAAACCCAGGTCTAACATGCACCATGGCTCAGCCATGCACTACGTGGCTGCATTCAGAATCAGGTAGAAATGTGACCCTGTTCCTCAGGCCCCTGGAGGAACGCAGAAGGGTTAAAAAACACATGGAGCTTATGTTAAAACTGAAAGGGGATGAAGAGCCTGCCCGACTAGTCAGCTCTGGAAATCCACTTCAAGGATCTGGTGGCACAGGCAGTGAAAATTAAGCTCGTAGCAAATTCTAGCTGGGTACCTTTCGGATAGCTTGAAATGTAGTGATCTTCAGGGAGAGGAGACACCAAGAAACAAGTAGATGAAGACAGAGATAGAAGAAACAAATTTAATTTTCATGGGAGGGAGGAAAGAAAAAAAAAAACAAAACAAAAAACCAAACCAAAAAAGCAAAAACGAAATGCAATGGGAGAAGCGGGTTAAGAGTCTCCAGCTGGGACCGAAGCAGCTCAGGGCCCCACTTCTCACTGCCCCCCACGGCTTCCTGAGGGACCCCCAAATTCCAAACTGCATGTCAGCTCAGCCACTGATTCGTCCCTTTCATGCACAGCTTAAAATCAAGGCCAAAAACTGCATTCTGGTTTTTGGGGAGGGGTGACGTGAGAAGTCGCTTTACACAGGAGCTCACTGCAACAGATGAGAAGATTGGGTGGATATTTTGGTGCAGAAAATTTTGAATTGGGGGAAAAAATAACCAGCAGCCTGTGTAAGGAGCAGGAAACCATTCCCAGAGTAGCTGGCAAGAAGTGTCTGTCGCAGTGAATGTCATTTAATTTCTCTGTGACTGAAGAGCAAACGAGGGGAAAAAAAAATAAAAATGTTTCCTACCCAGAACCGCACAAGGTTTAGCCAAAAAGGAACTGGAGAGCTGGGCATCCAGCTATAAATCAAGTGCTGCTCAGGCATCAAACACCTTCCCCACCTTCCCCCCCCTGCTGCCACCAGGTCCCCACAGTGATGTTTTACCTTCCAAGGTCTCATCCCCATCCGAGATCAGCTCGTCGTCGGAGCAGATGTTGAGGATGTTAACGAGCATCTCGGTGACTGCAAGAGGCACAGACAGGGGGGGTCAGAGAGGCCTGGGGCACACCCTGGAGCACAGAGGGATCTGGAGGGCGAGCTGTGCCAGGGGATGGTTTTTTCAAGGTCGTTTATTCCCTGGAAGTGGGAGCCTAAAGACACTCTGAGCCGCAGCTGCTGGTACCTCGCAGCGGGACCGGAGCAGACGACACACGCTCCATCCTCTGCCAAGGAGGTGGATGCAGTCCAAGCACAGCACAGATGAACCAGACGTGGGCACCGAGGTGCCAACATTCCTGCAGAGCAGCCTGAGCTCACCCAAGGTCCCCCCTCCCCATCCCAACAGGCCACCTGGCTCTGGGAGTGCTGAATTTGAGGACTGGGGGGGAAGGAGGATTAGACCTTTGGTGCCTCAAAGTCAAAAAAATACCCCCCACCCTTCTGGCAGTTCAGAGCTTGAAGCCACAACTCCAAACACACAACACTGGGGTGGAATTTAATGTCATCAGGAGATGTAAAAAAATCCTCTTTTGCTGGAAAGCTGAGGCAGAGTCTTGGGCATATTTTAAGCTGCCTCGCCCCCCTCCAGAACGAAATAAGCCTCTGACTGAAGTGAATGTTTCCTTTTCCGTGGGCCACGAGCCAACAGGAGTTTTTAATTCCTCTGTTGCAAACCCAGAGGAAGAGAAATGTCTCCAAATTCTGAGGTGGGGCTACACGACCCAAGATCAGCCCCATCAACAATGCAGAAAGAGCAAGAAAGGAGCAGCCTGTTGGTAAAAGGTCTTTAAAACAAGCATAAACAACGGTTTTCCCAAGAATTTAAACCAGGAATAGGAAGATTTCCTTGAATTTAAACTGTTACCAGTGTTACCTGGTATTAATGAGCTGCAACACTCTCCCAACACATATGGGACACATTTCTAACACTCGGGGAACTGTGACCAGTCACTGGGAACTCGGAACAGAAATCCAAACCTCTCTTACCCTTTTCCCCTACGAAAGGTAAAGACCATGTGAAGACATCCATGAAGTTTGGAAGCCAGTAGGGATGAGGGGAACAGTTGAACTGCCTGATGTTCATGACGTTGTTTTCATATTTCAGTACAGCAGCTGGGAGAGAAAAAGCCAAGAGAACGTGTGTCCATGGGCACTGGGAATTTAACAGCTGGAATGGTTTGGGTTGGAAGGGACCTTAAAATTCATCCAGTCCCACCCCCCTGCCATGGGCAGGGACACCTTCCACTAGCCCAGGTTGCTCCAACCTGGCCTTGGACACTTCCAGGGATGGGGCAGCCACAGCTTCTCTGGGAAATCCATTCCAGGGTCTCACAACCCTTACAGGGAAGAATTCCTTCCCAATATCCAACCTAAATTTCCCCTCTTTCAGTCTGAACCCATTCCCCCTTGCCCTGTCACTCCATCCCTTGTCCCCAGTCCCTCTCCAGCTGTCCTGGAGCCCCTTTAGGCCCTGGAAGGGGCTCTAAGCCCTCCCAGAGCCTTCTCTTCTCCAGGTGAACACCCCCAGCTCTCCCAGCCTTTGGAAGTTGTACCTGTGTTAATAAAACTTCATTATCAACACGAGGTTACACTTGTGTAGAATCAAACTACCAACACCCCAAAACGAGAAGGCTTAAAGAGCCATTTTTTAGTTAACTCATGTTGTTTCACTAAAGCTTGAAATACTGAAGGGTCGGTGGAACAAAGCTGCTAAAACTGATGCAAAACACAGAGCCAAGACCCAAAGGGAAGGGTTTAAAAAACCCCAGAGCTGAGGAAAATCCCCTCATGATTTGGAGGCAGGGGGAAGTGGAAAGCTTGCCTACAAACTACCAGCTTCTCTTGGATGGCAGCATCCCACAAAAGGGCTCCGTTGTCCCGTGGCTGGGAATGAAAGCTTTATTCCAGGCTCTATGGCTCGACAGCTAATTACCACAGTAACACATTAAGTCAGGGGACCGACCACTTCAGCCCAGCACACAAAGCTCTCTTTCATTTCGTGCCCAAGAATGCAACTGGAGGAGAGGGTTTTGTATCAAAAATAGTGTATTTTTGTATCCAAACCACTGGGGCAGCAGCGGCAGGGTAGGGATTGTCCCTCCCTGCTGGGCACTGGGGAGGCCCCTCGAGTGCTGTGTCCAGTTCTGGGCCCCTCAATTCAGGAACGAGGAGTGTGTCCAGGGAAGGGGCTGGAGCAGCAGGAGCAGCTGAGGGAGCTGGGGGGGCTCGGCCTGGAGAAAAGGAAGCTCAGGGGGGATGTTATTGATCCCTAAAACTCCCTGACAGGAGGGGGGAGATCCCAGGGAACAAGGGACAGGATGAGAGGAAATGGTCTCAAGCTGTGCCAGGGGAGGCTCAGGTTGGACATCAGGAGGAATTTCCTCATGGAAAGGGTTGGTTAAACACTGGAACTGCCCAGGGAGGTTTGGAGTCCCCAGCCCTGGAGGTGTCCAAGGAAGGACTGGACACTCAGTGCTCTGGGCTGGTTGGGATGGTGGAGATCAGTCACAGGTTGGACTCCGTGACCTTGGAGGGCTTTTCCAACCTGAAATTCTGAGAGGGCAGAGTGGGAGAGGGATTCCCTGAGCCCCCCCAAGAGCCCCTTACCCTTGTTGTTATAGACATCTAAGTAATTTGGTGCAGAGAAGATTGTGATTAGCGAGGGAAAGCCCGTCGTCTGGCTCTTCCTGTACATTCGGTACCTGCAAAACAGGGCAGGTGGTTTAAAACCTGGCCAGGGGAAAGCCCAAACCTGCCCAGCTCCCAGGGGCTGCAGCACTTACCCAGCATCCTGGGCTTCGTGAGCTCGGATTACGGATAACAAACTATTGTTCTGCAAAAATTCACACACTGCAGGATAACTGGAAAACAAAAAAAAAAAAGCAAGGGCAACTCAGCAGGTGGCAAAGGAGAGCAGGGAGCACGTGTGGTTTTGGTTTCAGGGACCAGCCACTTGCAGAAACCACCTGGTTTCTGTCCAGCACTCCCAAAAAATGCCAGTATATGGCTTGAAAATTAATTGCAAAGGGTTCTGTTAAACAGACCCCCGGTGCCAAACCCTCCCTACCAGTGGTCTGTCAGCACAAATGCTGGTTTTGTTTTTTTTTTTAGGCAGGAAAAGATAATTTCCTAGAGATCCTGGTACTGAAAGCCACTCACGGGGCACCCTGCCAGCAAAAGGAGCATCTCTGCTGCCTCAGACCACAATTTCATAAAGTAAGTCACCTAAGGAGAGCTCAGTATTACAGGGGAGGGAAAAACAAACAGTAATTTGTGCATCAGAGCCAAGAGGAGAGTACTTCAGGCACACTGCAAAGTGCCACAGGGTGAACTGATCTTTTTTCAGTGCAAGGGGAGGCAAAGTGCCCTCCAAAACCCCCTCTTACCTGTAGAAATAGGAGCAGCCCCGGACAGTGTTGTGGGCAAAATGCTCCAGCGTTTTCTCGTTGCCATAATCCTCCGAGGGATCAGACCAGAGCAGGTCACACATTGGACCAAAGGCTGGAGGCTCCTTAAACCTGTCTAACTGGAAAACGGACACAACATCAGGAGGCTGCTGGTGGGAGCTGTGGCAGGACACACACACATCCCTCCATCCCCTTGGAATGCTGGGCAGGAATCAAGCCATTCCCCCCCCCTCGTTGGAATTGGAAGCGATGGGATGGCCCCACGGAGATGACTTACTTTCCTAATGTCATCTAGACACGTGATTTCTGGAGACAGTCCTCCGTGGACACACAGGAATTGCTGGTTTAGGAGGGCAGCAAGAGGAAGACAGTCAAAGGTATCCATGCACGCGTCGTACACTCGCTCCGAGTACTTGATTCGACCTGGGAACAGGGATTAAATCGAGCTGTGATCAGCCAAAGTGCTGAGAAACAAATTCCAGGAGCCCAGTTCCTCAGGGGATATGGAAACTCTATGTTTATGGCCCACAACTCCAACTTTGCACCTGGATATTAGTGAAAATACTGGCTCAGAAAACGTTTGTTGGATGCGAAGAGAAAAAAGGTTTTGCTGTAAATCTGGACTTGTTCAGGAATATTCATCTCCCTTCAAGGTGTTTCCTACAAGACCTGCACTGGGATCAACCCAGAAAAGAGATTGTTTCCACCTGATGCACTTCCCTACATCCCTGTTGCACCTCCAGGCTCATCCTATGCAGGTCACAGACAGGGAAATGCAGCAGCTGTTGGATTTGGCAGAGCAACATCACACATTCCTGAAGTCAGGAATTGCCTTTTCAGCTGGACATGGGTGCTGTGAGGCAGGATCTGCCCAGAATGCCCTCAGATAAATGGATTTTCACAGTGGATCTTTCACTGGTACAAGTGATGACAATCTCCACTGGTGCCTCATCCAGGCAGAGGGGAAGAGGATTTTTTTCCACACATTAAAACAGAGATGCCACAGCCTTTCCAAAGCAGTTTGGCTCTTCCAGCAAGCCTCCAGTAGGATCAGAAACATCCTTATTTCACAGACACCAAGAGGGTTTTTTAGGGATGACAAAGGAAGGGGAAAGGCAGCAGCTCCTGTTTTCCAAAGGGGAAAAAAAACCCCTGTGGCCTGGTTGGGACTGAGCTCAGCTCCAGGAGCTCTCCTGCCCCACCTGATCCTGCTCCAGGATCCAGCAGGGAGCTGAGAGGTGTTTTCCAGCTCATTTCTGAGCAAACAGCCTTTAGTTATCACCTTATCCCCTCTGAGCCTTCCCCCATCCAGCAGCACCCAGAGCCCACAGGGTAAAGACTGCACTGGTGCCTTCCCAAGTCAGGCCCCTGAGCAAGAATTCCCTGATGGAGCTTTGCTTTGGTCCACTATTTTATGACTTGGAATGACTGTCATCCTCAGGGGAGAGGGGTCATCCCTTGACCTTTCCTCATCACTGGTTTGAAAATAACATAAGTGCTGCAGAAAACCCATCCTGAACTAAAACAATCCTAAAGGTAAATGATTCTCCCCAGTGCAAACAGGGAGGAGCAAATCCTTCCCTCACTTCCAACTGGAATCACTGATCCCAGCTGCACAATCTGGAGCTGGAAGACTCCTGGCAGTGATTATATGTTGCTGGGCCTGGAAGTCAGGGAGGGGAGGATGTGACTGGCTCCTCAAGGGGAGATGTGTTCCCATTTCCTCCTCTTTGCAACCAAAAGGCCACATCAACACGCACTTGGTGCTTTGTAGGACTTATATATTGTGTTTTTTGGGGGGTATTTTCTATAGTAGGGGCTGAAAGAGAAGAGCTGTGTAAACAGGAAAACAGACAACAGGTTTTTACAGCTCTGGATATTAATTTGATCTGGTGTTAATCTGATATTAATCTGATTATTAGTCTGAGAGTAATCTGATTAATCTTGTTATTACATATACAGCTCTGATATTAATTTTTGTGCTCAGAGGTACAAAAATTAAGGCCCACACCTGCTTCCAGCACTTTTTTTTTTTTAAACATATTTAAAAACATATTTTTAAAATGTATTGAAATCCTTCTCACACTGCTGGTACTTACATTCCTGCTTGAAGGTGAAATATTCTGTGAGGTGCCTGCACTCGTGGTTCCCTCGAAGGAGGAACAATGTTTTGGGGTGATTTATCTTTAAACTCCATAAATACAGCACACACTGCAAGAGAGGGAAAGGAGGAGATCAGGGAAAAAAAAAAAAGGCAGAAAAACCCTTTTCCAGGGCACTCATCAGCGTGAGAGACTTCCTGAAGCGTTTCTGGGAAGACACCCAAAGTGGAACCTGGAGAGAAACCCAGCTCCATACTGGGCAGTGGATCTTATCTTGGCCAAATGCAGCAGTGGGGGAAAAGCCACTTGGATTTCTCTCTATATCAGGGCCGACTTGGAGAAGTGACAAATGAGATTTTAGTTCACCCAAACCAGCTCGGGGCTGGGTGGGGGCAGGTTTTGGGTTTTTTTTTTTCCCCCCTTCAAAAGCTCCCACTTGCAGAGCAGCAAAGCCAAACCAGCTGTTTGCTCCAGATGTTCCAGTGGGATGGAGCAGAGCAGGCAGCCACTTGTCCATTAAACATGAAAAATTCAACTTTATCCCCCCCACTGATTTCCCCTCCCCACCCCACCCTTGCCTCATTTCTCCGCTTACGCCACAGTCACGTGAAGCTCAAGTTCAAAACAGGAAAAGCTGAGCCAAAAAACAAGCTTAGCAAAGCTTTCTGCCTTTTGAAAAGGGCTCTCCACATCCCCCAGCTGAGCAGCACCACCTGTAAAACCACACTCTTTGAGCACAGCCTAAAGTCAGACTCAAACTGGGGGGGGGGGGGTTTGACCAGGAATGTTCCAGGCTGGTTTCCCAGAAAGCCTCAGGGAAGGGCTGGAAAGCAGGAGTGCTCACCCCTGTGTGCTCTGCATTGTCAGGCTGACAGGGAAATGGGCTGGCATCGTGCACAGGGAATGTTATCCAACGGTTTGGAGAGCTGGAAGGACAATCCAGAATGACAGCAGCCCCAAGATCTGGATTAAAGTCTCTAATAGGAGCTTACCCTGGAGGCTGAGATGGTACAGAACCTGCACATGCCTGGGGGTGGGAACCACAAACTCTGTGAACAGTTTGACACTCTCAGATCTTGCTGATCTGGGGCACAGATCCCCGGGAACCAGCTGGAAACAACCTCCAGACCCCAAATAAACCGGTTTCCAGTTGGTTCCCAGTACACACAGCTCAGCCAGGGTGGTGTTTAAGCACTGAACCTGCAAGGTAAGCTCTGCATTAGTCACTCCAGCTGATCCCAAAACCCAAGGAGCTGTAAAGCACCATCTGTGTCTCACTTGGAATTCAACCCCACATTAAAAACTTGATTAATTCTGAATTCTGCAAGCGAACAGGGCCAACACCGGTAGCAGAATCATGTTTTATTGCATCTGTTACCAGGAGGAATGCTCCCAACAAACCCATTTATAATTATTCTGGGATTTAAAGCTTTAACCTCCCGTGTTTGCAAGCTAAATGTCACTTCTCAGGGCTGGCAGGAGAACTTGGAAGTTGCTATAAATGAACCAAATGACTTGCTAACGACTGGAGAAAAGAACCAGCCCTGGCACCCAAGCACAGCAGAGACACAGAGGAAGATTTGGGATGGGTGGAAGGCTGGCAACTTGCAGAAGAGGGGTTTTAAAAAGAAACATTTGAAGGGTTTCGAAGTGAAAAGGGATGGAATTTGACACCACAGCTCTTCCTGGACACACACAAAGCAACGTTCCCTGGGGCTGCAGCCACTTCCCAGGGATGTGGGGGCTGCCAGGTACCACTGGGGCACAGAGGGAAGGACCTTCAACAGCTCCCAAGGGGCTGGAATGAGGAATGAGGGAGGTTTCCACACTTGCATGCCTTGGATGCTTCCTGCATGGAGCCCTTTCCACGGCCCTGAGCCCAGGAATTGATTAGTGCCTGTTCACAACGGCCCCAGGAGCGACTCCAGACACTTATTTGGCCCTTAAATAATCTTTAATAAATCTACTTCTCTCCTTATTCGGCCTCTCAGCGTGAAGCCCAAAGCCAAGGGTTTGATCCACTTGGAAAGGGAAGGCTCCTCAGGGAGGGAATTGCAGGAGGAATTGTGACTCCCCCCCCAAAAATGCAAGAGGGGTTGGTGCCAAACCTGCCCACAAGCCACACCGTAACCTCTCCCCCTGTTCCCAAAACCTGGCATTTATCAGGGAGTTTTAAACATGGAGCCTCCCAGCTTTTCCTGGAGTGGGAACAAAATTCCCACAGCCAGCCCACAAATGTACCTTCTCTCATACCTTACAGCCCTGACTGGATCTCTTTAATATTATTCCAGATAAAACAGTGCATTAAATCAAGTTTATCACATACTTCCACAATTAGACAGCAACTTTGTGTCCTGTCCTAACTGGATTGGAAAAGCTGGAGTGGGAGAGGTGTATGCCATTATCACCCCACTTCTCCTGATAAATCTCCTCTCTCCATGGATTCTGGTTTTGGTCATAATAACTGTTTTACTTTATAATTTAATAAAAATGTTCTACTCCTTGTTTTCTGCCCTCATGGACCAGGATGGTCCCTCCCCACCACAGACACAGCCCTGTCCTCTGTCTGGGCTGGGAGACAGAACTAAAAAGCTTCAAGAAAGAAGCATCTTTCCCACTTGGAGACCGGGGGATAATCCCTCAGCAGGGCAATGCCTCATCAGCATCTCCAAAGGGAGGAGTTCATCCCGATTTTTCCCTGCTGCCTGTCAGCCCCTTCCCTCTGGAGCTGGATCTGTGAGCAGCCAGTCTCTGCTGTCACACCAAATGCTTCCCAGAGTCCCCCTTCCATCAGCATTCCAGCTTTCACACGGTTGTTTCCCTCCCTTCTCCCCTCACAACTCTTTTCTTAACCAACCCACAATTCATAGCCTCATTATCCTGAGAATTGATGTTTTTAAAGGAGAATTTCCCTAAGCCAGAGGCCCAGAAGGAATCTGTGGAGTGATTTGTTGTCACATCCAGCCGAGCTGATGAACTGGGGCTTTGGGGAGGGGGGTTAAACGTTTTGTCTGAGCCACAAATTCCATCTTTTACCTGGACAACCAAATGCCTGGAGCCAGGGAGAATTCCTGGAGGGGATATTTGGGCCTTACACCTCCCTAGCCCCCCACTTTGGCATCTTGTTTCCTGTCTGGAATCCACAAGGATCAGCGAGTCCAACTCCTGGCTCTGCAAAGGACCCCCCCAGCTGCTCCAGGCAGGCACTGGATCATCTCCCTACATCCCCATGGATGTGGGGAACTCATGATGCTGCTGGTGCTCTCCACCTTCCCACTGCTCAAGGCACAGGGAAACCCGGATGCTTTTCCATTCCCTGAGCCTCTGGGATGCTCCAAACCTGCTGTTGTTTCACTCTGGAAACCAGTTTCTGCACATCCAGGTGGGAATCCATACTGTCACAGGCAGACAGGACAAGGGGGAATGGATTCTCAACTAAAACAGGATTTAGAAGGGATATTGGGAAGGAATTCTTCCCTGTGAGGGTGGGGAGGGGCTGGGATTGAATTCCCAGAGAAACTGTGACTGCCTCATCCCTGGAAGTGTCCAAGGCCAGGTTGGAGCAACCTGGGCTAGTGGAAGGTGTCCCTGCTCGTGGCAGGGGTGGAACTGGGTGATTTTAAGGTCCCTCCCAACCCAAACCATTCCAGGATCCTGTGATGATCCCAGCATGAAGAGAGCAGGGCAATGATCCACAGCACTACTGTGGATCTGGGAGTAAAATCTCCATGTCTGATCAATCCTGGGGGAAGAGCAGAGGGAGAGCAGCACTTTTCCACCCAGGAGCTGTCAAATCCATGTGCAGACACAGGGTCCCACAACCCTTTGAGGGGTTCTTGGTTAACACCAAAAAAAATCCACTTTTTACCTCAGAAGGAGCTGCTGGGTTGGAATATAATCTCTTTTCCAGGTAAATACACTCCAAGTGCAATCCCAACTGGCACAAGCCGAGCCATTGAAAGGAGCAGTTGGATGTCCTTCCCCTTCCTCCCCAGGGGGTTGTGGGGCTCCTCCACAAATCCCAGCAGCCCAACCCCACCTCCCCAGCATCCGGACCTGCTTCCCCAGAAAGGGCTCATCGTCACACCTTGGCTCCCTGTCAGAATTCCCGAGGCTGGAAGGGAGCCAGGGGCTGCTCCAGCACAGTGCTCTCCCTAAATCCTCTGCAGAATCCTTCAAAGAGCCACTTGCACTCATCCAGCAGAGCTCCTCCCCGGGATTTAACTGGGAATGATTCCTCTGCAGACCCAAGGGCTCAGCTATTCCTGCACCCTCCCCTCTTCCAGGAGAAACCACCTCCTCTGCTAATTCCAGCCCTGTTTTCACGCCCCTGTTTCCCCAAAAGCCCTTCGTTACGTTGCTCCCAACTGGGATAAACTCTCCCATTTCCACTCCTTCTCCACCACCTCTGTGAATCCAGGAGGCTGCAGTCCCTTGGGATCTGTGGCATTTGCTAAGAGCTGTCCCATCCTGTCCCATCCCAGGTCTCCACGGGGACACACCGATTCCTTTGGCCTTCACACCAACAATTCCCAATTCCATGGAATCCCACGGGAGCTGCGAAGTCCCAGCACAACCCCAGCGACCCCCCCTTTATCCTGACCCCATTCCAAGGCTGATTCTCTCAGGGGGAAGCAGCAGCTCAGTCGTGTGACACTTTTCCTTCTCCCTGCTCAGCTGAATCCTGCAAGTTTTCCAACATTTGCTTCCCACTCTCCTGGTGGGATCTCATTGCCTGCAATCGACTCTCCCTCTTGTTTCCCTGAGTGACAGCCCCAAGTGACATTAAAACTCCACTTCAGAAGGCAGAGTTCAGCCATTAACCCCATCATTGCCACCAAAGCATCACTGGGGGAGGGTCCAGTGCTCAGTCCTCACACTGGGACATCACTTTCCTGCCCAAAATCACACTGGGAGTTACCAACGGGATTTTCACCCCATGCAGAGCTCGACTGGAGGGTAAATCCAGCACAGGAGATTTGACTTGGCTGTTTGAGCTGATTCTGAGTTGTATTTAACTAATTCTGGGCTGTATTTAACTGATTCTGAGCTCCATGTTAACTCATTTTGAGCTGGATTTAGCTGATTCTGAGCTGAATTTATCTGATTCCAAGCTGTATTTAACGGATTTCAAGCTGTAATTAATTCATTTTGAGCTGAATTTAACTGATTCTGAGCTGAATTTAACCGATTCTGAGCTGCATATATCTGATTCCAAGTTGTATTTATTTGATTCTAAGTTGAATTTGAACTGATTTTTGAGTTGGATTTAACTGATTCTGAGCTGCACTTCAACTGATTTTGAGCTGAATTTAACTGATTCTGAGCTGCATTTTAACTGATTTTGAGCTGAATTTGAACTGATTTTGAGCTGTCTTTGAACTGATTGAGGGTAGTGTTTTTACTCATTCTGAGCTGCAATTCTGAGGTTATTTAACTGATTCTGAGCTGTGTTTAACTGATTCCAAGCTGTATTTAAACTGATCCTGAGCTGTATTTTAACTGAGGCTCAACACTTTTGGTTCCTTTAGTACCCAGCTCAGCTTTCTTTGTCACCTCTATACTGAAGTAGCCTCTGTCCACGTAGTCTCCCAGGAAGAGGTAGCGGGTGTTATTGGGTGATCCTCCAACTTCAAACAGCTTCATCAGGTCAAAAAACTGCCCATGGATGTCACCACACACTAGGGGAGCAAGAACAGCACAAAAGAGGGACAGAATTACGTGCCAAGAAAAGAAAGGTCGCGACAGCAACGAGGAGCCGAGCGCGGCGGCCTCGACCTCCGCCAGCAAAACCCTCTCTTCTGAGAGTTAAAACACAGCAAAAACCTGTGTCAGCCCTGCTGGTGTTACCCCAGGTGGCCCTTTTTGGGCTCTCTGACCTGTGATGGGGGCCTCCACCTCGATCATGGTCTTCTCGTGCCTCAGGATGGCGGCGCCGTCGTTGATGATCTTCAGCGCCGCGTCCTCCTCCAGCCGCCCTTCCTTCACCAAGTGGCTCTTGAGGACGTCGAGCCTCGGCTTCCCATCCTCAAACACCTCCTTCAGGGTGAGCCTCTGCGTGGGAGGGAATGGGACAGCTGGAAAGGGAAGGCAAGGAAGTCAGCAACACGTCTCTTTATTTCTTTTTTTTTTTTTTTGGAGGGGGGGTGAGAGGAATCGGGAGGGCTTTGCTTCCCAGCCTGGAGCAGACACTTGGAAACTGGATTCCCACCGAAATTATGCTCCCACCAAATCCTGATAGGAGAAGAGCTGAGCTGCCAGAGCTATGAATTCACCCCTCAGCTTGGCTAAACACCCAGACTGTATGCCATCTGCACCCGCTCCGGAGCTGCCTCCTAATTCCAAGGGGACAATCATCATCATAATGTTGCACTGTGCAAATATCAGCAAAACCAGGAAAACCAGGAGCCACCAATTCAGGCAGGAGGACCAACACATCCCCCAAAAAGCAGAAGTTGCTTCTACAGGTCTTTTCCAACCCCAGTAATTCTGTGATATGGCAGAGTATGTTGAATTTAACAGGACAGAGTTAGACAAATAACACAGGGAGGAACAGCGGTGCCACCCTTTTAAATGCAAATCCAGCAGCAATTTACCCCGAAAACCCTCGAGGGAAAAGGAGGATGAGGCTGCACAAGGGATTCTTTAGAGCTGAACATCAATTTTCCAATCACAGGAGCTGCAGGAGCGAGGAGAACAAGAGCTGATCTGATGAAAGGGGAGCCGGTGCCTGCAATAAGGTGGCCTCGCTTTCATGGATCCCTTTGGAAGTTGTGCTCCCATATCCCACGTGCCTGGAACGCTCCAGAGCACACACAGATCCTTCCCCATGGAGCTGCCAGTTAAAGGGGGTTAAGCAAGACCTCCCTGAACCAACACAGGCTGGACGAGAGGTTTTTGTGCATCCAGAGCTCATCCCTGCTCCAAAAGGAAGAAACGGCCCCTCTGGATGTGGATTTTGCAGGATTTCACCTATTTTCCCCCTCTGGATCGGTGTAAGGATGGCAGGAATCATGCAGTGGGAGGAGGTCAGGGAAGCTGCACAAATAGGATCAGGTGGAATGAGCAAAAGGAGCTGTGTGGAAATGTGGGTCCAGGGCTTGGAGTGAGGGAGGGTTTGGGACTCGCTGCAATTCGGATCCTGGAAAATCATTTGTCAGCTCTTCTCCAAACAGTGGGGTTGTCCTGGAAGAGAATGGAGAAACAGGAACCATTCCCCTCCCATATTCCCCATCACTCCAGGCCCTCCAACACAGCCACCACCTTGGGAGCCACCCTAAAGAGCAGAAATCCCTCAGAAGTGGGGTCAGAGAGCTTAGAGGAGCTGGGATGTGACTCCAGGAGCAGTGCTGCCCATCCCACCATCCAGAGACCCACGGGAAGCTCTGGAACTGTGGTTTTGCCTTTTCCTGGTGGCCCCAGCGAGCAAAGTTATGCAAGATAAAATCTGAGGCTGCGCCAACGGGAGCAGCCAAGAACTTTTATGTAAGTTCCCTCCTTGGCTTTGCACAGCTCCACTCCCACAAGGAGCTGGGCAGGAGAAGGAATCAGCTTCTCCTCTGCTCTGCCCGTCTGCCAGCCAAGCTGCAGGGAGAGAATCCTGCTCTGGAGATGCCAGAGGAACAGCACCAGCCCTGGGATGCACACACACAGCTCCTCCTTCCAGGAAGGAGGCCTGGATATTTGGGAATGAGGAAAAACCGGGAATGAAATCCTGTGCAACACCTCTAAGTGTGTGGCCTGGCTGCTGGAAGCTCCCAGGATCCATGGGGTGATTGGCACCTTATCCCAGGGATCTGCTCAGATCCTGGGAGTCTGGTTCCTTCCCAGAACCAGGATAACAAGTAACTGCTCAGCCCTTCCAGCATCCCCTGGTCAGGGCAGGACCAAAATGACCCCAGCCAAGCTCTGTGGAGAGAGGGATCCCACAGGGATTACTCCACATCACCTGCTGTCCTGCTTTTTATGCTTCCTGCTGTAAAAATCCTTCCTCACTCCCTGAGCTGGTTGTGAGGTGCCAGAGCAGACCCCTGTGCCATGGAGCACCTCAAAAGCTTTGTGGGAGTCACAGGGAGGATGTAACAGAGCCCAAGTGCTTGGAAAATCAAAATCCACGGAGCAGGGCGTGAGGATCAGCATTTAATTAGTGTTGTCAAAGCGAGGAATCCTGTCAGGCAGCAGAGTTTGGGCTCCAGTCACCTCATGCCAGAGTTGATGTGAGGAACAAACCCCCCCTTTTGTTAAAGAGCTGGATTTTATCCTTATTAATGCTTGATTCTGTCAGGCAGCAGGAAGGAGGGGAGGAAGAGGATGATCCTTCAGCCAAGCCTGGGCTCTCTGACAGCAGGAACAGCCCTCAGAGCAAATTGACCTGGAATTTTGCACCCCCAGGGCACTGAGAAGGGTGGAAGGACTTGCCCAGTTCTGAAAAGTGGGGAGTAACTCCTGATCTCACAAAGAAGTCATGGAATCATGGAATGGTTTGGGTTGGAGGGACCTTAAAGCCTACCCAGTGCCACCCCCTGCCATGGGCAGGGACACCTTCCACTAGCCCAGGTTGCTCCAACCTGGCCTTGGACACTTCCAGGGATCCAGGGGCAGCCACAGCTTCTCTGGGAATTCCATCCCAGCCCCTCACAGGGAAGAATTCCTTCCCAATATCCACCTAAATTTCCCCTCTCAGTTTGAACCCATTCCCCCTTGTCCTGTCCCTGCAATGCCATGGTTGTTCATGGAGTGCCCAAGCAGACCCAGCACGTTCAGCTCATCCTCAGAGTCAGCTCCCTCATAATTAACAGAAATGACGGATAAAACACTCACAACATTCCAAGAGCTAAACGCTGTGACCTCTGTGCCACCTTCCCTTTGCACACAAACCTGGGTGTTGCACCCAGTCCTGTTTAAACAGTGAGATCTGTAGGTCTGGGATGTGGAATTCTGCAAGGGAATCCAAACCCACTCCCAGGAAAAGACAAATCCCGACCCCCTGACAGGACCACAAACAAAAGGACACGAGTGCAAGTGAAGTCTGAGGTATGCAATGCATTAAAAGGTCAACTGTGCCCGAGGGACTTCAGGAAAATTAAGAGGATGGGGAGATCTTTGTTAGACTCCAGTGCGAGAGACTCCGTTTGCTGCCAAATTGAGACAGATTTTAAATGCCAGGCCAGGAGCAGGTGGGTATTTGAAGTGTTCTGAAAGCACATGGACAGATAAGGATGGGAGAATTTGGGGGAAAAAAAAAGCTGCTTTTGTACCACCAACTCTACCAACCCAGAGTATCACTTGCCCCTCAGTAAAAGATGATGATTTTCCCACAGGGAAAACCACGTTGCTTTCCATGGTTTTTTTCTACATCTGTCTTAAAATGTACTTAAAATCCAACTGCCATCAGGGCTGCCCGATCCCCACTGGCTCCAGACAGAGCCAGTGCCATGGAAGAGAAAACAGAGTGATCCACAAATGATTGTTTATACATCCCAGAGTCCCTGGGAGGACGGGACGGAGCAGCCGAGGCGGATTCATTACTGAAAAAGGAGCAAGTGCTCTTTGCCTGGAGTGGCAGCCACGGCCAAACGCTGCTCCCTGGCCCTGGGAGGAGCAGGAGGTGCCCCCTCAAGCTTCAAAAAAAATCAGTTGGGATTAAACAGGCTCGGTAACAAACTCCAGAGAGATTTCCCTGGAGCTCCCGATGCCACCTGGGAGCGAACTCGAAGGGCACTGGATGCAAAATCCCTGCTCTGGTTGCTCCTTGTTATGGAGCACAGGGTTATAGAGGCACTTTGGAGAGGGAAAACAGCACATCTGGGGCAAAAACGGGGATATGGACACCAAGGAAGCCGGGCAGGGCTGTCAAAGGTAGAAACACCCCCAGGGAAAACTCATCCAAAGCCCCTCTGAAAGGGAGGAAAAGCTGCCTCCTGTGTTGAGCTGGGCAGAGCTCGAGCAGCAGGGCAGGGGGTTTTTTTTTTCCCTCTTTCCCGATTTCCTAATAGCCCAACGTTATTTTTATCCAGTATTTCATTCCCATTCACACCTAACCTACATTCATCCACTCAAAGCCAAGCCCAGGGCTCACACGGAGCCAGCTCAGGGGGAAATGATGTGGAGGAATTCAGCCAGGAAAAGGCCACAGCAACGCCATTTGTGCCTGGAGAGAGCTGGATTTTCGGGATCCTGCCGAGCTTTCGGAGCCATTAATGGGAAATAAAACCTTGCAGGCAGGTGATGGATCCAGCCAAGCTGATTCCTGCTGCTCTGTCCAGGAGTCAGAGCAAAAGTAAGGACAAGGCTGGGCCTCGGTAGCTTCTCATGTTCAAACCTGATGTTAAAATCACAGGATTATGGAATCACCCAGGTTGGAAAAGTCCTCCAGGATCAGCAAGTCCACCCTGTGCCCCATCCCCAACTCATCCCCCAGCCCAGAGCACTGAGTGCCACGTCCTGTCCTTCCTTGGACACCTCCAGGGGTGAGGACTCCAAACCTCCCTGGGCAGTTCCAATGCCTGACAGCCCTTTCCATGGAATAATCTTTATTTTCCTTGAAATGCTAAATAATCCAAATTTCTGGTCACTTAATATAAAATATCTTTGCTTTAATAACCCTCACCCTGCTCTCCATGAGTTTTTCCCTCCCCTGAGGTGCCCCTCAGGGCGAGTTTATGTGAGAACCTGCAAAACCAGGTTTTGTGCCTGATATCCCGAATTTTTCCAAGCCTGGACCAAGCCCTGACAAATAATCTGTGTCATTTTTCAGGGCTGGCCCTGCCATGTCACAGAACTGCCCCTTCCAGCTACAGAAGTTCTGTGAGGGGAAAAAAAAGATGAAGTGATATTTCACCTCCTGGAAAATTAATATTTCACTTGAGGAAATCAGTAACACCTCCCTTGTTCACGTAAAAATAACATTAATACCTCAGAAAAACCACCAAGTCAAGCAAACATTTTTCATATAAAAGCAGTAAGAGTCAGAAATTACTATTATAATTATTATTATATTATTATTGCCATATTTCTGCCTGTCTTCCCCCCAGATTTTTGCACGTTCCAACCTTCCAAGGGCAGCAATTTTCCTTTC